AGAGACAGGAATACAATCACTAAACTGAGTCGATGATAACAAGTCGGTGACATATTTCTGTTGGCTTAAGAGAATACCGCAGGCTGAACATGTAATCTCGAGGCCAAGAAAATAAGATAAAGAACCCAGCTCCTTGAGAGTGAACGACGCATTTAGCTCCTCCTTGAGTCGTAGAATACCAGACACATCATCCCCTGTAATGATCATGTCATCAATGTACAAGAGTTGAGTAGTAAGACCCGCCTTAGTAGACCGGAAGAACAAAAAAGGATCATTACGACTCTGCTGAAAACCAAGTGCCATAACTGTAGGCTGAAATTTCTCAAACCAAACACGAGGTGCCTGTTTGAGACCTAGAGCGAACGCTTAAGACGAAAAACCTAATCTGCGCGGCCAACAGTATATTCAAGGGGCTATTTCATATACACCACCTCCTTCAAGTCACTGTGAAGAAAGGCATTTTTAACGTCTAACTGAAACAACAGCCTCCCACGAATAACAACAACAACAAGTAAAATCCGAACAGTCTGCATTTTAGTAACCGAAGCAAAGGTCTCCTCGTAATTGAGACCGTATTCCTGTCCGAAACCTTGAACAACAAGACGTGCACGAAAACGTTCAAGGCTACCATCCGCCCGAACCTTCACCGCATAGACCTATCGGTTCCCAAAAATGGTTACTGGTTCAGGAGGGCGATCAACCACCTGCCAGGTGTCTGTGGCATGCAATGTATCAAACTCCGTTTGCATGGATCTGTTCCAATTAGGATCGAGCATGGCCTGTTTATAAGACGTAGGAATAGTAATGGCATCAACATGATCAGACAAAATCATTCTACCGAACTGGGGGCTGCCCTTTGGGTGGTGCGAAGTGTTCCGATGCAGTAGAGGCAGCAGACGAACTGCTGAAGAGGACCCAGGCGAGCTAGCATTTGTTGCGGTACTACTGGATGGAGAACTAGGGAAATGGTCATCGTGATCTATAGCGCTGGAGGAAGAACCAGGCGAGCTGTTGACATGGGTCGAGGGGGCAGGCGAGTCGGGGGGGGGGGGGGAGTATGGGGTCTTCAGGATCCTCGTCATCATCATGAAACATGGGCAGTCATGTCTTCTCCGACACAAAGGAAGAGTCCTCGGAAGGAGTGGAAAAATACATGAGATGTTAAACGAATACAATGTCACAAGAGATACGAAGACGCTGAAGAGACTTATCATAGCAAAGTAACCCTTATGAATGTCACAATAGTTGATAAAAACACATCGAGAAGTTTTGGATGAAAATTTAGACCACTCCTTACGAGGAAGAAGAACAAAGCAGGTACACCCCAAAACTTATAAGACGAGAATAATTGGGATGCTTTTTGAACAATACATAATGAGGACTAAGCTTACCAAGAACTGGGGTAATATGATAATTAATCAAACGAACTACCGTAGCCACGGATTCAGGCCAAAAATGAGCTGGAACACGAGAGGCTAAAAGCATGGCTCTAGTGAGTTCAACTACATAATTATTCTTAAGTTCAACTAGAGCATTTTGTTGAGAGACTCCAGGACAAGACTTATGAGTTAAAATCTCCTGAGATCGAAATAAACGATTTACTGGATTGGAGCTAAATTCCCCCACGATCTGAACAAATCACCCTGACTGTGGTACCAAATTGGGTCCGAATCATTTTCAAAAAATCGGTGGCAACAGAGAGAAGATCATATTTTAAAGGAAGTAGACCCAAGTAAATTGAGTGGCATGATCAATGAATAAAGCAAAGTATTTGCAACCATGTCGGGAATCCGTAAGTGACAATCCGTAAGTGGCAAAGACCGCCTCGCCTGCACCAGGACGAACGTCCAATTGAGCTTGCGTCTTAAGACGCGTCTCTTCTCGAACAAGAGCAACGAGAATACCATCTAGCTTCAGTTTCTGACGTTGTAACAGATTCGCCCGGACGGACTCAAACTCAGGTTTGAGAAGACTAAGGAACTACATCAGACGAGTTCTTTGGAGATCTTGGATGACTTCCGGAGAGGTTGTGACGGAGCATAAAGTGGCTGTCAGAAGGTCTTGTTCTGTCCATAACAATTGTGCAACATTGTAGTATGACGTCACGTCCAGATCCCCTTGTTCGAGACGAGCCAACTCAAACGTGATTTCAAACAGCCGAGCGGGATCAGATGTGGTGTAAGCACTGGCGAGATGAACACATATGTCTCTCGTTGTACCCACCAGACGAAGCCCCAAACAAATCATAGGATCAATCGTGGTGAGGAGATAGGACTTCACCCTAGCATCAGTTTGTTTCCATTTGACGAGCTCTTCAGAAGACGATGGCGGAACAGTAGGACGCACCGAAATCGCCTTCAATGAATATACGGAACTGGAACTCCCAAAGTGCATAGTTCTTGGAGTTCAATCGAATCGAAACTTTGTATGAATCCTAAGACAATAACTCTAATACCATGTTAGTGAGTATCAAAACACTAAACGTATACGAAGCAGAGAAGAAACCTCGACACGCGATTTACGTGTTTCCCCGTTATCGGGACTAGTCCACGGAAGAGCTAGAACTCTCCGAGCTATACGTCTTATTATGTTTTCTTGATCGTTTACAGCAACGTCTCTGTATATATATATATATATATATATCCTCTTAACCCTAGCTTTCTCAATCTACTGCTAGGGTTGATCACCATAGGCCACCCACACTTACACGACTCGGACGTCCATTCTGGACGATACAACAATGGGCTAAAAGCCCAAAACCAAATCCGTTAATACTCGGCCAATATGGTTGTCATGCAAGTGATAAGATTAGAAGGCATTGTTGATCAATCAGATTTTTTTTCAAGGTTCATTGGAAAAGGGAAGAAGAGAGGTAAAGCTAATACTGTGGAGACTAGAGAGAGAAGTCTCTCTTCGTTGATTCATTATTTTGCTATTTGTTTATAAATAAAACATGTAAATTTATTTCTATGTTACTTATTTTATTAAAATTTTTAAGTGATGTGCCAAAAGGTTCCACATCATTGGTCAACATATAGACCGTTGACCACTAATTAAGGATAAAAGTTAATGGAGATTAAACTTTGCGACACGACTGTCATGCCAAAACATAAGAGCACAAGTGACATAAACACTAAAATTTACCCCCTTTTTGTATTAGGCTTGTTTATACCAAAGATAACTCGCATTTCATGAGATATCAAAGATATACAAATGTGTGTAGGATACACAAGTCATAAATTACAACGTGCACAACAACGCACCAAAATCGAAATCTGCACAACTTGTCGCGTAGAGATTAATGTTTTTTATCGCCACAATACGAGCGACCCTATTTGCCTCATGACAAGAAAGAGCAACTAAATATCCAAGTTTCACGACAAGCACTCATTGCACTTCTAAGAAGATAGCTTCACCCTGTCCATCTAAAGTCGAACGGGAGCTGAATTTGTTGAACACTCGTTGTGCATCACCATAAAATTCTACTTGTTCCAACCTCATGCCCTGATATCACTCTACTGCATCTCTCAAGGAAACAAGTTTGACCAATAATGATCAAACGTACCTGGAAAGCATCCGTCACCCGCTGCCAATGTTCCCCCATGACGTTGAATATGATATCCCAAACTGCTCCATGGGAGCCATTGCGAGCAAATCCATCAAAATGAACACTAAACTGTTAGATATATAATAATAATAATGTTAGGCTTATTAGCAGGGTTGGGCGGCTAGGGTAGGCCGATTAGGTTAGGATTAGTTTATTAGGTTTTGGGTTTATTTCCTATAAATATGTACTTTGGGTTTACGTCATAATCAGTCAAGAATAATATTACAGAAAGTATCCCTCAAACCCTAGTCTCTAATCCCTCTCAAATCTCGTCCCTCTCTTCCCTAAAGGCCGCCTGCCATCCTTCTATCTCAACCCCAATTCTGTTCTTCAATCCCTAATCCCCAATTCTCATCTAAATCCCTAAATCCCTAATTGTTACGATAATAACGGGTGCCGAAGATCAGTCCCTAGAATCCTTAACAAGAGGGTTCTTTCAGTGGTATCAGAGCCTGGTTACAGGCACTTGTACCGGTGCCATGTCGAGATTCGAAGAGCTCTTGATCAGCGAACTCACAAGGATTTTGAATTCGAAGTTGGACGAGATGAGGAGGAACGAGGTTACCTCGTCCTCGTTGCTGGCCGGGAACATCGAGCAGACTGCTCCACTCAAAGCTACAGCCGTCGCATTGAAGAAGCCAACTGTGGCGGCCGAGAAGACAGTTGCAGGGACAGCTACCTCCCCTGCGACACCATCGACGCCATCACCATTAATTGTTCCTCTATTCGACGCCGAACAGGAGAAGGTGAACGAGCTACCGGTCAAGACGACTACAGCCACTGAGCCGCCAAACCTGGAGGAGCTGGTGCGAAGCGTTGAGCGAGGACGAGAAGTCGTGGCGCATGTCAAAGGTTGTACCGCTAAAGAGGCCGTGCGTGTTGAAGAACCGCCACCAAGTTCACCATCAGTCGACGTCATTCTATCCTTGACCACCATTAATGCATCACCAAAGACCTCAAGCAGGTCGGACATGAAGGAAGAATCGGGCGGGAAGGAGGCTCGATCGGATCTGGAATTGGTGGAGAATTGGAAATTCAGGAAGAAGAAGTTGGACGAAGGAGTGGTTGACGGATAAGCCCCGACATCGCCAACGAACAAACCGGCCAAGAACCTGCTCCCCAGGAACTCGGAGATCAGGAAGACGAGGATGGAGCTTCACGTCGGCAGCGACCGACAAGGAGAAGCAGACGCGACAAACCGCCAGGGTAGCTAGTCGAGGGCTCAAGACGAGCAAAGTGAAACAGGGTCGTTGGCGGCTCCAGCCGCGCGATTGGCAAAAGCCCCAATAGACCTCGGCGACGCGATGCCGCCCGGAGCAAGCGTGACTTTCCATCGGGAAATCGGTTCGCCAAAGAGGAAGTGGCCGGCAAAGCAGCCCCGCGGCGACCAACGATGAGAAGCAGAGCGGGGCCGAGGGATTGGCTCGCCGATGTCACCAATCGAGCAACTGGTTCGGCGATCGGCAACGGATTCCCAAGTGGTGACGACGGACGTTTCGTCGACGGAGGAGAAATCGACGGAGAAGAGAATCACGCCGCGGGAGCTGACGAAGAGGGAGAAGGTGGCGGCGAAGTCGGGCTGGCCGCCTGCCCTTCGATGACCAAGCGCCTCCAGAAAAGGAGGCGACTGAAGAGGATTCGGGGCCGGAGAGCGAGGCGAGACAGCTGCCGTCAAGGAGGAAGATGGGGGCTGGCGGCGGTCTTGCTCGTCCAGCAACCTTGGGCAGGCCGCCTCACCGTCGAGAGGGAGACGCGAGGCCGGCGATTGAGAGGAAGCAGGAGTGTGGCGGGAATGTCTCTGCTGCCGCCTTCCTTGGGTCGTCGACGAGGAGCGAAGAGGAGAAGAAGCTGCCGGCCAGAGCGTGGAAGGTGGAGGGCGGCATGCCTCCTTCCTCTGCAACCCTAGGCCGCACCACCCAACGGGCCGAGTCTGTGGGCCGAGCTGCTGATCGGGTCGCCCAAGCGGGTTGGGCAGTCTCTTTTGACGGGTCAAAGACAGTGGGCCAAGTTTATAAGTTGGCTTGGAAGGAGAAAGAGCTTGAGTGTGGGCTCAACAAGATAAAACAAGATGGGCGAGAGCTACAAGCCCATTCGCTAGTTATGAGTTAGGCAAGGGGCAGACCAACTGGGCTCAGGGAGGAACTGGGCCGCCCATGTGCTGTCTTTTGAAAAAGGAAGATGAGCTTATTAAGTGGGTATTTGGGCTTTCAAATGACCCAAGCCCAAACGAAAATGAAAAGAAGAAGGGCACAATAGGAATTAATATTGGTTTGGGCAATAATTCTTTCTTCCAAGTAATTGTGGGCCGAATCCAAGGTGCGGGAAAAGAAGGCTTGGAGAAGCTAAGGGTCATTTCTACCGCCAATCCCATGGAGAAATTCATGGAGCATCATCTCGAAGGCCTCAAGCCAGAGCGTAAAGAAGAACAGTTCTCCGATTCTTATTTCAAGAATTTCAAAAAGGAAGAATTGTTCGTCTATGAAGAACGTGACACATGTCACGTGGGTGGAGGAGAGTCGAGGAAAGTGGGACTGGTGCGAGAAGAGTTCATTCAAGGGATTGAGCACAATTGGAAACGAAGAAAGCGGAAGGTCAAGAAGACGAAAGTTGACTGCAACCTTGAGGACATGGTCGCTTTCAAGGAGGGTGGAATGTTAGATATATAATAATAATGTTAGGCTTCTTAGCAGGGTTTGGCGGCTAGGGTAGGCCGATTAGGTTAGGATTAGTTTATTAGGTTTTGGGTTTATTTCCTATAAATATGTACTTTGGGTTTACGTCATAATCAGTCAAGAATAATATTACAGAAAGTATCCCTCAAACCCTAGTCTCTAATCCCTCTCAAATCTCATCCCACTTTTCCCTAAAGGCCGTCGGCCATCCTTCTATCTCAACCCCAATTCTGTTCTTCAATTCCTAATCCCCAATTCTCATCTAAATCCCTAAATCCCTAATTGTTACGATAATTACGGGTGCCGAAGATCAATCCCTAGAATCCTTAACAAGAGGGTTCTTTCATAAACCCATCACTAAAGGCTTCCCTTCTCATCAAGCGAGGTACATGTATTTGATCAGGAATATTCTCCACTGATGGATTCACCAAAGCCCGGAGTTCCTTGATTTGGAGTATCAACTACTTCTGCAAAACATCAATTATGAGTTGTTATCCCTCAAAGAAGGTTGTATTCCTTGATTTCCAAAGGCGCCAAAACCCACACATGCAATTTCACTCCATATTGTGCCTGATCTTATATGAGCAAATTACACCAAAAACATATAGCCTCACTCGTAATTAAGAAGTAATAAACAAGACTAAAAGAAACTAAGAACTAGTATGGGATTCACCAAAGCCCGGAGTTCCTTGATTTGGAGTATCAACTACTTCTGCAAAACATCAATTATGAGTTGTTATCCCTCAAAGAAGGTTGTATTCCTTGATTTCCAAAGGCGCCAAAACCCACACATGCAATTTCACTCCATATTGTGCCTGATCTTATATGAGCAAATTACACCAAAAACATATAGCCTCACTCGTAATTAAGAAGTAATAAACAAGACTAAAAGAAACTAAGAACTAGTATGGGATTACAAACTCAACTAGAACTAGGAAAGTAAAGTTAGGGGAGATTTTTGAAAAAAATCCTTTCTTAATTAATGCCAAAGGTGGAAAATACACCTATATTAAATATGTAATAGTTTCATTGTCTGTAAATAAGAATAAACGGAGAAAATAAAGAACGCACAAAGATTTACTTGGTTTCCTCGAATGTCGGGACTACTCCACGGTGGTGAGCATGAAGCTCGATGATGATACTAGTGATGATGATAGTTTGTGTTCTATGTCGCTAGACTCTCTTAGGGTTAGAGCTTCAGCCTAAACACACTCTTATACCCTCCACAATAAACACGGGTATAAGAGAAATTACAAGAATAAATGAAAACTGTACAAATAGGTTTAATATTATCCATATGGCCTCATCATATCCTAGGTGTCTTTCGGTGTCTACTACTTGGCTCTAAGATTGGTGTCGTGACTGTAACACCCTACCATATACGTTTTGCCTAATCATATTGTTCATACAATTGCAGCGGAATTAATCTCTGGTGTTATATTAATTATCAAATTTACCCAAATAAAATTTCGACATGAATTACTCGCGTAATGGGCTAACAGTTCTTGCAACTTATCCTGCAAAATAATTCATCACAAACATATATACTCACAACCATATGCATTGGCTTTTCTTAGCCATAGTCACACTTTTCATCCTCCACAACTGCATACCATAATCGTCACAACTTACACAGTTACACAACATATACACATATCATCAACTTTCCACACCCGTGGATATCTCACACTACATCAGAAGCTAGTATGCACATGAAAAACGTTCTCAAAACATTTTTTTTACAAAAATGTGTGGATCACTGGCCAAAATCCCGAGTAGTCGTCCAAACACAGAATAGTTGAAGACCATACCTCATCCTGGCTTCAACTCTAGCTCCTCTCCCACCTAACACTTATCTACTGCCGCTGCTGATGATCTGCTTACACATAGCATAAGCAGAGAATAAGAATAAAAGAGGGTCAGCTCATAGCTGAGTGAGATAATCATAGCATCGTGAGTTTAACAGAGCATACCCCTATCATACATCTAACAATCAAGCCAAAACACTAGGATTGGACCTCAGCCATCCTCATATCCCAATAGGCAAAAGACTCAACCACCTTGACTTATGCATATGCATCTTATCATGTTTTAATCATAGGCGTCATGCTACTCCCATGCTAATTACTCTCCCGGGCATACGGACCAAACATCTCGTGGATGTGGTCATATCGGACCCACCACTGCCGGTGTAGTCATATCGGACCTGACACCACTCTGGGTGTGGTCATATCGGACTCGACACCACTCTGGGTGTGGTCATATCTCATGATGAATCAATGGTCAACACCACATCAGGGGTGTGACATAACATATCATAACGGAGTAACAACATGGGGAGCCCTAATTACTATGTAATTGACCATGAGACCAATGTACTCTTACTTGGTATCCTTATACATGATCCATATCTCATCTTGCTAAATCATAATTCGTTACTTGCACATGTACTTGACCTGGCCACAATTGGCTCAACATAGGTAAATCAGGAGTCGTATAATTGCACTACCTCGGGATAAACCCTCGTGCAAGTCATCCTCCTTAAACGTCATAATATCACCAGGGAATATATATTTTCCCACATGTGCATCCAAATACAACAATCATGAAAAATCATACCCAATCACCTTTTCGAACCATCATAAGGCATATCAACAGTCAAGCCCACAATTTGCAACATATACGAAATCATCAGTATAAACAAGGTCAAACTCGATTAGGGCAAGTCAATAATATCATACAGTAGTCCATGGTTCATCATGTAGCACAAAAGTTCATACACCCTTAATCATGTCATTCTAGTTCACCTAGGTCAATTCTAAGCATCAATATAATTATCGTGATACGACAAACCCGGTATGCCATGCTAATCCCTCACCAGTTCTGGTCGTTCAAACACCGGTTTAACCTTTCCGTACTAAAACGTCAATTTCACGAACGAACCCCGAATTAAAATCCGAGACCGTCCTAATATCCCCTGCAGTATCCCCGTCAATATTAGTTCTAGGCTCCGGGTTAAATTCTTGATAAAAACACATCAAACCCTGGCCGGAGCTAAATTCAGCGATTTGGACCACGATCTAAATAATTGCCGAAATTCAAGGATTAGAACTAGATGATTGATTACCTCACTGCAGGAAGCTCGTATATAAAATTTGGGCTCAATCTGGCTTTCGGATACTCTGAAACCCTTATTCCTTCGATCAGAAAATCAAGAAATTATCGTGCAAGTCATCCTCCTTAAACGTCATAATATCACCAGGGAATATATATTTTCCCACATGTGCATCCAAATACAACAATCATGAAAAATCATACCCAATCACCTTTTCGAACCATCATAAGGCATATCAATAGTCAAGCCCACACTTTGCAACATATACGAAATCATCAGTATAAACAAGGTCAATCTCGATTAGGGCAAGTCAATAATATCATACAGTAGTCCATGGTTCATCATGTAGCACAAAAGTTCATACACCCTTAATCATGTCATTCTAGTTCACCTAGGTCAATTCTAAGCATCAATATAATTATCGTGATACGACAAACCCGGTATGCCGTGCTAATCCCTCACCAGTTCTGGTCGTTCAAACACTGGTTTAACCTTCCCGTACTAAAACGTCAATTTCACGAACGAACCCCGAATTAAAATCCGAGACCGTCCTAATATCCCCTGCAGTATCCCCGTCAATATTAGTTCTAGGCTCCGGGTTAAATTCTTGATAAAAACACATCAAACCCTGGCCGGAGCTAAATTCAGCGATTTGGACCACGACCTAAACAGTAGCCGAAATTCAAAGATTAGAACTAGAGGATTGATTACCTCACTGCAGGAAACTCGTATATGAAATTTGGGCTCAATCTGGCTTTCGGATACTTCGAAACCCTTATTCCTTCGATCGGAAAATCAATAATTTATCGGCCCAGAACTTCGTTATAAGCTATGAAATCAATGAAGCACATAGTATGGAAGTATTACGTACCAACTGCTAGATTTTTGGATCACCCAACGCTCAAGAAATTGGATTTGAAATTTTGATTCCGAAGCTCCCCTGCTCGCTCTGGAAATGATAAATAGGAAATGGAAATGGAATAATGGGGAGGGGGGAGTTCGGGTCGTGCTAAGTAATTGCGGTCCCGACCGCTTTTACTTTTCCGTGTCCTTTTTTTTCTTCTAATTATATATATATATATAATTATATATATATATATATAATTATATATATATATA